TAGCATGAACCCTGCTAACCTAATGTCAATCTGGGTGTTCTAAAATGCTGTGTAAACATATTCAGAATGTACCTTTATAATTTTCTTGCAGGCATACTATTGGGTCTGATTCAATTGTTCATGTTTTGTTCATGAGACCACTTGTGGTTTGTTCTAATTTGTTTTGCCCTAACCTGAGCAGTCAACTGTTACTTTCCTGAGATTCTACCATGTTAGTTTAAATAGTAGCGTTAAGCCATCTAATTTGTGATCTCCAATGCAATGCAAACCATTCCCATGAATTCTGCCTTGCTCATTGCAGGATTTTGTGCAATAAGTTTAAATGGAAGTATGTTTGAAATTCTTACATCTGGACTTTGGGCCATATGTACTGTGTTTTTTTTGTGATGTCATTCTTATTATTGTCTATTTAGTTAATGCTATATTTATGTTTTCTTCCTTGGACCTTCTGTGTATTCCCAGTGTGCTGATGAGCATGTTGATAGTGCTCAAAACAATTAGTGCCCACCAATTAAATTAAACATATTACAGAAATGATTCAAGAGCAATAGGGATTTGATTAACAGAGCTGAATATAAATAGCTTGGCTAGCCAATGATTTAATATTTGAAGGTTAAAGAAATTATTTAGAGTAGTGCAACTGTATATAGTTGGAAGGGTAAACAAAGGAAAACCTGACTGACAAGACAAAATTTCTTCATAGTCAAATCCATTTGACTTGCTTGAGACATTTAAAACTAGATTGGACAAAATATTAGGAGTAAATCAGTAAACTTGCCCTGAGAGGGAAGTCTCAGAGTGGTAGCCGTGATAGTCTGTAACTAAAAAAAATGGAAAAAACAACAAATGGTTCTGTAGCACCATAGAGACTAACCAGAAAATATAGGTAGTATCATGAGCATTTGTGGGTCCTGTGAGTACAATGTTTGTTTATGCTATTATTAATCATCATGTCAATTATCAATAATATTAAATTATATATTTTCAGAAATGCAGACGGGCATTCTTATACAGCTCTTTGTCGATCACTTGTTCTGAATTTTGATGTAGTTTGGCTCTTTGGTTTGAAAAGGTTGCCAACCCCTGATCTATTGCCTCAGACATAAACATTTTGTCTTCACTTTCAAGACCCTTCACAGTCAGTGCCCAGCCTATCTGTGACCTCTCATTCACAAACCATCTGCTAATTGTAATTTAGGGCTTGGCTGTAGACAATGGATCATGTGATGCGTCCTGGATGGAAGCTAGAGGCATGTTGGTAAGAATAGCAGTCACTAGTTATCTGGTATAAGGTTATGTTTATGTGACTGTCATTTATTTGTACAGCAGTGTCCAAGAAGTGGATCTCTTGTATGGATTGGAAGCTTTAAGATACAATCAGATCTGCTCCAATCCCACAGAGACCAAGGGTAAATGGACAGACATCAGGAATACTAACATACATAAACCTGTTGGAGACATTTTAACCTCCCTTGATATTCAATAATGGATTTAAAAGTAAGCACCCAGATATAGAGGGAGACAGCGGAAGTGGAGTTCATTTACTAGTTCAATACTATCAGCTTAGGCTTAAATAAAGATTTTAACTGGTTAATGCACTACAAAAGCTATTTTCCTGTCTTTGATATTCTCATTTCCACATCAAATGCTATGAATGAAATTCATCCAGTCTGACTTAATTAGCTCCGTTAACAGTGGTCCTGCAATTGACAGTTAACTGCTTTTGCTGTTATATTTCCTGGATTCTGTAATTTCTACTCCAACTCATTTGAGGAAGTGGGTTTTACCCACGAAAGCGCGTGACTTAATAAATTTGTTAGTCTCTAAGATGCCACAGGACTGCTCATGGTATTCAGAGTTACAGGCTAACACGGCTATCCCTCTGAGACTTCTTAAAATACAATGAAAACTCATTACAAGATGTGTATCTCAGCCCACAGAAAAAATCTGTATGATACAATATTTGAGACATTTTAAGTGATCATATAATTAAAAACTACTGTAATACCATATGCAGAAGAGACAACATTGAGGTTACACAGGAAGTGTACACAGGAAGTCTTAATACTGGTATTTCCTGACTTGAGCACTTCAACATAAAGTATCTGTATGCAATATTACTTAATATTTATTTAACAAAGACAGCTACTTGTACATTCATCCAGTCAGGTGAAACAACAGGAAAGAAAAATACCATAAGATGCAGGTCAATAAAGAAAACAAATGACTATATATTTCTAGAACTTCAAATGGAAATATGCCATGTTTAATCAAAGTCCCTATGATAAAAATAAATGGCCAGTGTCTGAGTGAAATATGTAAACAAATGTATTTCAAGAAAGGACTAATGCCTCAAGTATTAGATAAGACGATAAAAGGCTATTAGAATAATAAGAGAGGTATGGAATGCCTGGAATATGAAATTTTCTGTTTAAAAAAAAAAAAAAAAAAAAGTCTACCCAGCTACCAAAATTTTCATTGTTTCACTGTGAGTATCAAAGATACCTTATTTAACCTGCACACCATATTAATTAGGCTCCATGCCTCCATAACAAATTCGTTTGTGCTATATTAGTGTTACACAATATAGAAGAGTTTTAGAAGCCCCAGTTTCGGTTGCTTTGTGTTCTTGCTCTCTCACAAATGCACAGATTATTCTTAAAATTTCCTCTGATCATCTCCGGTTTTCTTTTGAAGACTATTTGGAATCAACAGGATAATTCCTCCATGACAGTTTTAATGTATATCAAATTTTGAGTCTAAATCATTTTACAGCATTGTAAGTTAAGAAAGGAATACCTGAACTTTGAATATGTTATGTCACAACCTTAACACTGTACCCTGGCCACTCCCAAGAAAGCATACCAAAGTCTCAAGGATTCACACACCCACCCCGTAAACAGGTTTTTGCAGTAACTGACATTCTAGCCAAGAAGGCTTGTCTCAAGCAAACTTCTGGGCTAGTCATCACCACTTTTGAAGTTGCCTGAAGGGTTCAGATGTATGATGAACTCAGGGCACAAGGTTGAGGTGTGTGGGGGGGGTGCAGGAGTGTTGTGGCAAGGGGCTGGGGATGTTGGGGTGCATGAGTTTGGGGATGTGGAGGTATGAGGGGCTAAAGGCAGGGGATTCAGGTGTATAATGCGCTCAGGGTTGGGGTGTGTGTGTGGGAGGGTGCAGGTGTGGTGTTATGCTGCAGCCAGATGTGGGCTGGACCCCAACTGGGGGCTTATTGGCTAGGTTTCATTTTTAAATAACGTAAAATATTATGAAACAAAATATAGGACTATGTAGCACTTTACATAGTCCTGTATTTTATTTCAGCTACCCTAGGCTAACACGGCTACATTTCTATCAGTAAAATATTATGTCCAGCACAAAAGGTTTCAACATTGTCTTTATTTATGGCAGGAGTGGGGAGCCTCTTTTGGGTCAGGCACCACTAATCCACAGAAAAAAACATCTCTAACCCCCCCCCCCAACCCTCACTGATGTGGCCCCAATTGAAACACCTCACTCCCCTGGTGCTCCAGCCCATGGTGGGGGGGAGGGACAAGGAGGACTGAGGTTCAGTGCCTCAGGCCAGATTTACTCTTCTGGGGTTCCAGAGTTAATGGATTTTGTGGGCCCCCTAGGCTGAAGGGTAGGGCCAAAAATGAAGGGTTCAGTGTGCGGGACAGGGCTGCCAGTGAGTGGGATAGGGATGGGGATTCAGGATCAGGGTGGGAGGTGGAGTGCAGGAGCAGGCTGGGAGTAGGGTGTCTGGCCAGGGGGAGGGGCAGAAGCAAGGGGTAAGATGTGTGGCTATGGGGGGAGGGCAGGAGTAAGCTGGGAGTGTCGGGTCTTGGCGAAGGGCTGAATGAGCAGGCTGGGGATGCAGGGTTTTGGTGGGGGGTCCGTGAGAGGGTGGGGTCTGGGCATGATGAGGTGGGGGGCACTCACTTTCGTATCACGTTGCAGGCACTGTGTAACATGGCCTCCTGTTGCTCCCATTCACCGGATTCTGGCCAGTAGGAGGAAAGGGGAAGCCTCTAGGAAGTGTGGGTCTGCAAGGATCTTCCCCCAGGCGGGTGAAGGAAAATGGCAGTGCAGAGACACATTTTTGGCTTGTCTTGCTTCCCACACACCGGATCCAGTGGGGAGGCTTAGGACTTGCCCCTCCGCCAACACCTCCCCCTTCCCACAGGAAGCCGGCGCTGGCGTTCCAATCTTTATGGGGCCATAAGGCTGTAGTGCCAGAACTGGCTCCCTGCTGGGGTTGGGGGAGGCTGAGCTGGAGCTCCAAAAGAGCCATCTCTGGCTCCCTAGTGAACCATAGGTTGCCAACCCCTGCAATAGAGTAATTTAAAGAGAGTAAATATGGTCAAAATGATGATAGTGCCTGGTTTGCAGTAGCCAAACTGCTATAACACAGCATTATATGGAATAATTTTGTTGAAATAATGTAGAATGGCTTGGGAGTAGATGGAACCTTCATATTTGTGTAATGCAAATATATTGGGAAAACAATTTGTCACCTTTTGAACTTTTCTAAGTAGAGTTTTGTCTTTTTCAGGCCCAGATTGCCTTTCTTCAAGGGGAAAGGAAAGGACAAGAAAATCTGAAGAAGGATCTAGTGCGAAGAATCAAAATGCTAGAATATGCTCTTAAACAGGAAAGGTAAATCACTTTTAAGATACTAGAGAATTTTGTTTAAAAGTCTCATAACATTTTAAAAGACAAATATAATTTCCATAGTGGTTCTTCAGAGGAATTTTTTTCATAAATCTGGACCTTGAATTGGTAATTATGAACATAAGAATTGTCATACTGAATCAGTCTATATTTAGTCCAAAATCCCAATACGAATAGTGGACAGTATTCAAATGCTTTAGAAAAAGGTTAAAAGAAAAAATCCTGCATTAGACAGTTCAGAATAACATCTCTCAGGGCAAGTTTCTTTCTAGTTCCCAGAAGTTAGATATTGGTTAACCTTCATTTTTGAGATGAGGTGATGAGAATTGAAACTAGAATTCCAGGTGAGGTTGTACCTGTGATCTGTGAAGTGTCGTCATAATATTTTTGGAGATAAGAGTATTTGTTTCCTTAGTGATTTATTGAATCTAATATTAATAATAAAAATAAATAGTATTTGTGTACTATCTGGCTACTAAAGAATCCTAATTTTTCAATAAAAAGAATTAAACAGCTGAAAATGTAAATCTTAAATCTGTTTAAAGCCATAAGTGAAATAATAAATGCAGTTATTAAATTCTTTTTTATTGAAAAATGATTCAATAAGTCACTAAGGAAACAAATATTCTTATCTCAAAAGTATTGCTATTACACTTTACAAATCAGAGGTACACCCTCACCTAAAATTGTAGGTTCAATTCTAATCTAGTGACAGACAATTTTTGGCTAAATTGCATAAGTGTAGGAAAAATTTGTAATTACGTTGAAAGTGTCCTGAGTGCCGGGGGGGGGGAGAGGAAAGATACATACAAATATTGCTGTGCAGTAATTTTAGCATGCTGGTTTGTTCTAGTCCTATTCTGGTGGCTGTTGTTTGGTTGGTCAGTAAAGCAAAGTTGTGACCCATAGGAAGAGAATTTGTGAGAGATTTTGATCATATTTTTCTGGAAATGTAAACCAGTGCAAGCAGGGTTTGTTCAAATTCTGTTGAAACAAATTTTCTCTATATGTAGTGTAGGTTCAGACTTGTTTCTATGTGCTTTGATTCTTCTAGAAGCCACTAATCACTCCAACTACCCCAAGAAATCAGTTGTATACAGTCAAGCATTCAAATACCACAGGATATACTACAAGGAGAAAGTCTGGGATATACACCTTAACATACTTTACCAAACAAAGATGCTCTGCCAGAGAAGTAGATCACATCAGCTCCCCAAATAACTTGTGAGAACCTGCTTTAGTATGGAAATAAAACCCTGTCCAACAATATACCCTTGGTTATTACCTTTCACCCCATAATGGAAGCCATCCCTGGTATCATTAAACAGTTACAACCTATCCGCAGTGGGGATCACATCCTGAAAAGAATCTTTTCTGAACAGTTCTCCTGGCCTGCAAATAAACACTCGGTCTCTCCAAGCTTCTTATCGGAAGCAAGCTCTTTGCAGCCCAGACTCTAATGCACACCAACTCTAATGCAAAACCTACGGATATGTCTGCATTGCTACAAGAATCAACACTCCCACCCTCACAACACACTTTACAATATCCATGGGTCCTGCCCGTGTCTATCATGACTTGTCGTGTACCTCATCCAGTGCACAAAATGCTCCAATAGCAACTATATAGTTGAAACCAAACAATCTCTATGCTCTCAAATGAACTCACATAGAAAAGTGATGAAAGACAAAAACACCATGTCAGAACACTCTTCACAAAGTGGTTGTTCTAGCTGACCTCCCAGTCCTTGACCTCAAAGGAAATGTGCATAACACCTTTAAAAGACAGGCCTGAGAGTTAAAAGTCATAACTCTACTGGGCAGTGAAAATCCTAGACTGAGTAAAGACACTGGATTTATAATTTATTGCAACAATTTATAACCCACTAAACTTGCCTCCCCCCCAGCTTTTTCTCCTGGAGAGGTGTTAACTGGCCACTTCACCTAGAATGGTCCCTTGAGATGTATTAACTATTTGTGCTAAACAATCTGACACTCTTGAGTACATTTCCCAGATATGAAGAAAAGCACCATGTGAACTCAAAAGCTTCTCTCTCAGCAACTGAAGTTGGTCTAATAAAAGAGATTCTCACCCATCTTTAGCGCTTAGTTTACACATGAGACATTACGGCAACAGAGCTGTGCTGATGCAGCTGTGCTGCTGTAAGATAGCCCATGTAGCTGCTCTGTACCCACGGGAGAGAGCTCTTCCATCAACATAATTAAGCCACCCCAATGAGCTGCAGTAGCTATGCAGCAGGAGAATGTCTCCTGCTGACATAAAGCTCTCCATACCAGTGCTTCCGTCCATTTAATTTATATTGGTCAGGGGGTAAGACACCCCTGAGTGACGTTAAGTTTTACTGACAAATGTGCTAGTGTGGACATAGCCTAAATATCAAACTAGGTATTCAATTAGTTTGATCTTGTATGACAATCCCGTTCTTTCTCCATTTTTAATCATTTTATTACAAATTCAGTGTTTCTGAATGATTTATGCTAACTGCTATTTACAGCAATCTTTGACTTAAAACCGCAATGTTCACTTGGGCAACAAAATGGCAAATGAATTTTAATGTTGATAAATGCAAAGTAATGCATATTGGAAAAAATAATCCCAACTGTACATAGAATATGATGGGGACTAATTTAGCTATAACCACTCAAGAGAGTGATCAGGGAGTCATTGTGGATCCTTCTATGAAAGCATCCACTCAGTGTGAAGTGGCAGTCAAAAAAGCAAATAGAATGTTAGGAATCATTTTAAAAGGTATTGAGAATAAGACAGAGAATATTTTATTGCCTCTATAAATCCATGGTACACTCACCTCTTGAATACTATGTACAAATGAGGTCGCCTTATCTAAAAAAAGATATATAGGCATTGGAAAAGGTTCAGAAAAGGGCAACGAAAATGATTAGGGGTTTGGAATGGGCGCCATGTGAAGAGAGATTAAAAAGACTGGGATTTTTCAGTTTAGAAAAGAGGAGACTATGCGGGGGGAGGAGGGGTTGGTTATGATTAAGGTCTATAAAACCATGACAAGTATGGAGAAAGCGAATAAGAAAAAGTTGTTTACTTGTTCCCATAATATAAGAACTAGGGGTCACCAGATGAAATTAATAGGTAGCAGGTTTAAAGCAAACAAAAGGAAATTTTTCTTAATGCAGCACACAGTCAGTCTGTGGAACTCCTTGCCAGAGGAGGTAGTGAAGACCAGGACTTTAACAGGGTTCAAGAAAGAACTAGATAAACTCATGGAGGTTAGGTCCATCAATATTTATTAGCCAAAATGGGTAAGAATGGTGTCTGTAGCCTGTTTGTCAGGGGCTAGAAATGGATAACAGGAGAGGCAACACTTGATTACCTGTTTCTGTTCACTCCCTCTGGGTCATTTGGCATTGGCCACTGTTAGAAGACAGGATACTGGGCTAGATGGACCTCTGGTCTGATTTCAGTATGACCGTTCTTAAATCAGTTGCTTAAGAAATAATCTTAGTTCCTGGAGGTCTCTCTACAGAAATTTTGTTTGGTATTTATAGGCAGGGCAGCATATTGAGCACAAGAAGCCCTGCTGTCATTCACAACAGTATTTTCCTAAATCAGCTCACAAGCCAGTTTAGCCAGCATTCAGTGAAGAGTTTGTGTTGATTACTCCTACTGAGCATCTGGGAGTCACAAAAAGGATAATCTGCAGGAGAGGAGAGGAACTCTTCTCCTGGCCAACTGTGATGAAGGCAGGAAAAAACAAGATTGGGGAGAAGAGGAAAAAAAATCAGGTAATTAAGAGAAAAAGGGAAGATTGCTTCATTCCTCCCCTATCTCCAAATGTACCAAATCTTTACCAAGCAAATAACCAAACATATTAGTTGTGGACCATTGTGTAAAATAGTGATCCACAGAAGGGTGCATTGGCAGCATGTAATGACAAATGGGAGTGATCCTGGTTTCTCAATATGTTGACCTGAATCAAGACTCTGTATACTCAGTGCTCAGTTTTATTTTTTTAAATTGTTGAAAAGGATTAACTTAATTTCTGACCAATGTCACTGTTCTGCAATTAATAACTCTTTCATGATGTGTTAAGTCACTTTTGTAGAGTGTAAAACTTTTCCAGTATGGAGAAAAGTGTTTTTGATTCTATTCCCTGGTAAAGAGATTAGTCAATTTTAATATTAGGACATTTCTGTCAAGGATTCTTTAATATAATATATACGAAAAATACATTTAAAGGGAGAGAGCTGATCAAATAATTTGAACGCTCTTATGCATTTGATGGTTCAAAAGCAATTTTGCTGTAATTTTGCAACCTTCCAGCAGATTGCAGTATAAGTCTTTGTTCACACTTTAAGGTTGTTTTATTACTTTTTTAATAGTAATGGTGCTCAGTTACTTGTTTAAATTATTATCCCTGCAGTTTAAAGAGCTAACTATAAACATGTTTCCATCTTAAATATATGCCCGACAATTAATAATCTCTGTTACTCATTTCTCTTTCTAGAGTGTTTTCACCAAACAAGTTACTCGTAGACCATTTCTCTAGATATGTTGTTTGTTTGTTTTTTAAATGGTGTGTCTGGTTGGAGTAAGACTGGCACCATTTCCCCTGGCCAGGATATATCCCAGTGCTGTTCCTGGCAGTCTGTTTTGTTTACGTCTATTGGTCTGGCGACTCCTCTTAGTACTTCTATGGACGTTTGGCAGGCACTCTCAATACAGCTGGATCAGATACTTCAGGTCTACACACTGAAATATTTCCAAGAAATAATGGTATTTCTTGATTAGAAATCAAACTGGTTTCTTTCTATGAATTAGTCTGAGAGTAGTGAGAGTCTTCCACATAGGGAATTTAAATTGAGAGTTGAAATTTTTTAAATGTAACGAAGTTTGTTATTCCCAACTATTGAGATGTTGGGCAGCCATATTGAATAGCAAATGTTGATTACTTGCACAGCTGATTGCAGTTCATGATAAAGAAAAGTGAGGAAAAGAACAAAGCAAGGCAATAAATAAACTAATGAAGTGAGAAAGCAAGAGCAGTTGTAGTGATCTGCTTATCTTATTAACTAACTAAGCCAGTCTATTTAGTAACATAGCTTTGCAGTCTAAAAATATCTTCCTTCCAAATGACTTTCAAGGCTGGTTGCAGCTAGAAAATAGATTTGATAACATGTCTGTTCAAGACAGTTACTTTCATATCATTTTACTTTTCAGTCTCTGCATACTGCTGTTTTCATACAAATAATTCTTTTCAGAAATTAATATTAATAGATGTTAATAGTTCAATAACTTACATAATATCTAAACTGTCATTTTCATATGAAGATAATGTAGTATATCTTAATGTAATTTCTTACCTTTCAAACTTTAGGGTATGCCTTTGACCAGTTTTCATAATGATCACATAGGAAACCATTTATCTGTTGCACAAACACAAATATAAGTAGCTGCAGTGCATAATTTTACATGTAGTGTAATATAGTTGGAGCACCCAGTTTTAGTGTTAAAAATGTAGTTCAGTTGGAGCTAGTCAGAGATGAATTACAGGATATAATTTTGAGTGAACTGAGAAATTTAGTGAACATACTGTAATAGGAGGAAATATTAAAATCCATTGATGGAGAAAGAGTGCAGGGAAAAGTAAAAGATTAAAGAAAGTTCAGCTAACTATAGTCTCTCTGAAAATAAAAAATTCAAAGGAAATAAGTGGTCCAGGTGAATCAATAAGTATTAAAACTTCTGGGCTTGAAAAGAAATGCCACTGGGATTGAAGAAGGGGAGAGGAAACCAAATTAGAAGGAGTTTTAACACATGGGGGAAAGATGAGTCATGAAGAAAATTAATGAATTACCTTGATGTGAAAGGAATCAGAAAACATTTTAAGAGTATACTGGGATTGGAGGAAGAACCTGTCCAATAAAATAGATCCATTAATGAACGAAGATATTAATTATTTTAATAATTTGAAAATTCCTCCATCTACATAATACAGAGGCAGCAGTGGAGGATGGTAGCTGGCTCCTCAGGAGTAGAGCTGCAGTCAGGAGCCAGCAGTTGCTTCATGCTCCTGCCTCTATTTCAGAGGCAGCAACACAGGGCAGCAGCTGGTGAACGCCGGGGGAGCTGGCTCCTACCCTGCACTGCAGGTGCTTGTAATGCTGAAATTTTAAGAGGTTACATGGTTACTCAGTTACCTGCTTTTTAACCTCCCTGATGTAAACCCTTGAGGAATGAGAAGTGTAAGATGTTTTTAAATTGACATATAGGTATATCCGTGGTAGAAGCACAGTACCAGTATTGGAACTCGAATGTACTAAAGTGCATGGGTGCAGCTACACTGGCAAAACTATTCCCTCCCTGAGATAAAGAAGTTATACTGTTACATGTGCTGTTTTGCCAATATGGCTGTATGTACGCTACAGATTTCTGATGATACAGCTGGAATCACATGACCTAATGCCAGCAGCAATCTGTAGGGTAAACATAAGTCGGGCAGGGGACAGCGGGAGCTGGAGTGCCAGTATGGAGGGAGGAGGAAGAGAGGAGCCCAGAGCCCCAGGGGCCAGATCCACTCTTGCTATAGACAGTAGAGATACTTGGCAGTTGAGTGATAGTGGGAGAAAACACCGAAGCAGTCTTATCCTAGAAGAAGCATATGTCCATGAAAAATAAAAATATTCTCTGTAAATATATTTATTCTTTTGTTCTTGATATGTATTGTGTTTTTGATCATGTAACTATTTACTTACTAATACATTCCTGTGAGTGAAAGCTCTAGAGATTGATTTGTGGAGAAAAATAGGGATATAGCTTGTTTATAGTTCTGCTGAAATAAATGGGTCACAGGTTTTTATGGTATGAGGAGGGCAGGGAGAATGGAAAAGTATCTTTCTAAAATAAGGACCGATGGTACCTATGCATCTGCAAGCTTCCTTTACATGCGTTAATCGAGTTCCTCTTATCTTTTCTTTTTCAGAGCTAAATACCACAAATTAAAATATGGCACAGAATTGAACCAGGGAGATATGAAGCCTCCAAACTATGATTCTGGTAAGAATTTAAGAATAAGGGAAATATGGTATAACATTCTCCTGCAATTTTAGCTACAGATTTAGTGGATACAAAGAGGATAATAAAGATGGCTTAGTGTTGCTTAAGACTAATGTTGGCCAATGCAGTTTGTTACACAGATATTATAGGTATAGTTTGTTTCTTTAGTATCTGTAACTAGGCCATCAAATAAGTTGAAGGTATATAGATGCTGCAGAATATATCTAATCTCTCCTCTTCATGACAGGGATGTTAAATTTTGATTAATTGGCTAATCGAATAGTCGATGCAATTTACATCGACTATTTGATTAGTTGATAAGGGCGCCTCCGCCTTTGAAGTGTAGCAACAGCCCCAGAGCTGTTGCTCCTTTTCAAAGTCAAAAGCACTGTGGGGAGCACAGGGCCAACAGGGGACTCAAGCAGCCTCCCACTAGCCCCGTGTTCATCGCCACATTTCAAAGCAGCAGCGCTGCATGGAGCCCAGGGTCAGCAAGGGAGTCCCCAGCTGACCCCATGCTCCATGTGGCGCTGCCGCTTGGAAACACTGTGTGCAGCCTGGTGCTGCAGTGTTTCAAAGCAGCCGACCCCAGGCTCTACGCAGCGCTGCTGCTTTGAAACGCCATATCCTCTCTTCCCCCCCTCCCCACTTGCTGCCTCTTTCTGATAGAGGTAATGAAAGGGTGTGGGGGGGTACTAGTCAACTAGTTGTTCACATCCCTACTTCACATCAGTATTTGAGAAAGTTCTGAAGAACAGAAAGACATGGAAAACACACCTGGAGAATCTTATATTGGAAGAATAGAAGAGTTTTGAATTAACAATAGAAGTGTAATACAGTTACAATGAATTCAAAATGCTTAAAAAATGAGTAGTCCTGTGACACCTTAGGGCATGTCTACACAGCACGGCTAATGCTGAAATAGCTTATTTTGGCTTTTTGTGCTGTCTACACAGTAGGAAGTCCGAGAGACAGCACTCTCCCTCTGACTCCTTTACCCTCGTAACATGAGGGTTACAGGAGTTGGAGTAGGAAGTCATTCAGCTTGACATTATTTTGACATTATTTCGAAATAGCCCGCTTCTACATGATAGGCAGTTATGTTATTTCGGAATAACATCCGTTATTATGAAATAACATTGCTGTGTTGACGTACTTTTAGAGACTAACAAAAATATATAGTAGCTAGCAGCTCATACAACTGCACATACTCTAATGTGATTTATGCAATTAAGTGCCTGCAATGCCCCTCTGCTATGCATATTGGCCAAACCGGACAGTCTCTGAGAGAGATTAAATGGACTCAAATCAGATATCAGAAATGATAACACACAAATGTGTAGAGGAACATTTTAACCTGTCTGGTCAAAATGAGTAGTACATCATTTTCTGATTTGTAATCTTTGTAGAATTCCAAAAAAAATTGAAACACATATGTATTAGGGGTAAAGTAAAGTTGTAGGTACATAATATGGAATGTTATAAAATTACAGTGACAATTGGAAGATCATTATATAACAAATAACGAATGCATGTTTGTAACTGTTTGACGATTAAGCTTCTTTTCATAAAGAGAAAGGGAGTGACTTTGTCCCAAAACAGGAGGAATTGGAATTCTTTTTGTAGTCATCAGCAAAATAAATCTTACCAAAAGGGCTTTTTTCTCAGGATCCAGATTATGCAACAAGTGCATAATAAGCAGAAAACATTCCACAGCTTTATTCCCCCATACATTCAGAAAAAAAAGACTATATGAAAATCCTTTTAGTGAACCTCACCCCCCTCCTTCTCCATTCACTGGAAGGAGATAGTCCTGGTTAACTGAGTCATAAGCAAATGTTTAATTCAACAATACCCTTGTCACCTTCCCAAACGATGCAAAATACACTGAAGCACAGATTGAGGCATCTTATTTCTCAGCTGTTAGAAAATGATGCCACTCAGCTCTTGGAGGGGATATTAAAATTAATCAACTAATCAAATAGCCAATGGCATTTCCATCGACTGTTCGATTAGTCAATAAGGGCTGCTTCCACTTTGAAATGTAGCAAGAGCCTGCTAAGCAGTTGCTGCATTTCAAAAGAGAAAGTGCTGTGCAGAGCCCCAGCAAGGGCACTTGTGCATTTCAAAGACTGAAATACTGCATGGCGGCTGGAGCCAGCTGGGGACTCGGACTCCCCCACTGGCCCCAGGCTCCATGCGGCACTTACACCTTTGAAATGCACAAGAGCCCCAGCAGGGACTCTACTTTTCAAAGGTGGAATGGCGCCGCTGTGCCCCTGCCACAGAGTTGGAGCTGGGGGTAACTGACTTTTAAGCTGGCTCCCCCAGCACTCCTTCCTCTCCTCCCCCCCGCCCCGACTCCATTGCTGCCTCTTTTTGATAGAGACAACAAGGTGGCGGGGGAAGCGACTAGTCGACTAGTGTGTCAACTACCCGATAAGCTTTTGCTTATCAGATAGTTAATAAGTCACTTACATCCTTAGTGCCCAGACTGGAGGAATACTCAATTCTTTTACATCCTACATATAGCTGCTTAAAAGAATGGAGGTTCTTGCACCATATGTGATTCAAAGCTGTTTTTTCCATATGCTTTCAGCTTGGAGATTGCTGTTTTATTTCTAATCCATGTGAGTTGTACTTGCTTTACTGCACATATACATCCATGCACTAGGGATGTAAGCGAATAGCCGACGGGGGTAGTAGGGACCGGGCATTAGCAGGGGGTAGGGAAAAGCAGGGGGTACGGGTTCATTGACTAGTTGATTAAACTACATTTAACATCTCTACCATGCACATCTGCATACCTCTCTTGGACCAAGTCAGAAGGAATATTGAGGCTTATTTGCAGTGATATTTCCTTTTTATCTCCTCTGTGGTACCTTGGAAGTTGTAATAATTCTGGTTTTAATTCTCCTAATCAAGAGAGTCAGTTCTTATCTGACATTTGCAGTAGAGTCTCTTTTGTGCCATTTTGCCAGCAGTCCAACTTCCTTCAGTCTCCTTCCTGAAGGATAATGGATTTGTCCTCAGTTTCTCTCTGAAATGTCTGTACTTCAACATGAATATTGACAATCTCCAGGTTTCTGGTATCGAGAGGAGTTTGTGTACACATACTTCCATCTTGATACATACAAGTCTCTTAGCTTTTGATAGCTGTGCAATGGATCCACCTGTGTTCAGACGTTTTCAGAAAATAAATGGCTAAATGACTGATTATTTCTTATTGCTACTCCTGACTAGTCTTTTAGATTCAAAGGCACAATAATAGTATTTAACATTCATATGGCAGTTTTCTATGTATTTATTTGTACTACAGGCTGACAGGGAAGCACATTTGTTTATGCCATAATAGTTTTATCAGGGTAAATTTATAACTTAGTTGTGATTTTTAAATAAAAGATTAATTTAAATTCTGAACTATGCTGAACTATTAAAACAACCATGGCCAGAGGAAAACTGACTATTGCCCAAACAAAAATAGCTAAATCTTTTGTTCCTGACACACACAGTCATTATAATATGGCTGAACTTTAAGTTGTTTGTAAGTAGGCTTGACTCAGAGATATATCCATGATCAAATCTCAGATATTGGTTGGGTAAGCTATAAGCATTGATATCACGTGTCAAATGCAATGGGAGATAATGACATTTTGGTAATTTTTTTGTAAGAACCTAATTATCCTTAAAATATGTGATCACTCCAGTAAACACAAGTACAGAATTCCAGATACATGCATGTGACTGAATCCTTCTGAAGAAAAGGAGTTGGAATCAGTGGCGAGATGGGTTTCGTATTGGGAAATAATGGCGATATGAAGGAGATGCTGATAACAAGTATAACTTGTTCTCAAAATACAGTAGTATGCTGATGACAATCTTTACAGTGTGTTCTCATAGGTGACTCTGCAGAACTGCACTCATTTAATGATCTTTAAGAGTAATGAAATCTTTTCCAGATGAAGGGAATGACACAGAGGTTCAGCCCCAACAAAATAGTCAACTAATATGGAAACAAGGGCGACAGCTCCTGAGACAGTAAGTGTCAACGATTAAACAAGGAAGCTAGATAAAAATAGGTTTGGAGGATGAATGTGTCACTGCGCTTTTCTTGAAGATTTCCATGAGACTTTTCTCTTTGGTGAAAAGAGTGGCAGACTTTTTTTCTTTTGATTGCTCGGACTTTACCAAAGTTAGAAAAGTTTTGGTAAGTTGCAGAATGGGAAAAATAAGAAGTGGGAGAGGGCAAACTACTCATCGCTCTTCCTTTTATTGAGTTTGGTGGCACAACGGGGAAAATGGAGAAAAATAGTGGGAGGGGTATTAATATTTGATTTAAGAAAATTCATAGAGATCTAATTATAAATTTGAAAACCTTTTCACAAAATTCTTTCAATATTTTTAATGGAAACACATGACAGTTTTGTCTTCTAGCTTCCAGTTCAAAAGGAATAGAACGCCATTGTCTGTGTTGTAGTTTTCAGTTCTTGTTGTATTGAACTTTCTGGAGCCAGAGTTGGCTTCATATAATAAACTTTCTTCCTGCTATTTATTGTGATTGTTGCTATAAATTTAAAATAATAGTAGTGAGATTATAGTCTCTCTTTTCTCTCCTCCCTCCCCCATAAACTCCACACCCTGTTCTGAGTCAGGTTCAGTCAGTCAGGTTGCAGTGATTTTTCAGGTCTTGTTGCAAAGCTACCTTGTGTTTCTGTACTTTCTCAGGAAAGACTGAGTGAGCAGAATTGTTTAGCAAAAAAGTCTGATTTTTTTTAAAAGGCCTTACATTTTTAACAATGGATCATTTTATTGAATGAATTATTTAATATACTGTATGTGTATCTGTAGTTTCAGATGGGCATATTTTACATAAATATAAATCAATATTCTCTTGACTACAACTCAGTTTGAGAACATAGGTATCCCATTATGTCTTTCTCTGGATTTTAGCTAAAGAAGACAGTAGTGTGTTATACCTGATTCAACATTATAAAATGAGCTAAAGAAGACAGTAGTGTGTTATACCTGATTCAACATCATACATTATAAAATTTATGCTTAAATTAAATACCAACTTCGTATTACACAAGTAACTTATTGGACAGCATAAGAGCAAGCACTCGCTTCCCCTGCCCCCTCCGACTGGCAGCAAAGAGGGTGTAATTGTTATACAGTGAACCCTCGTTTATCGCGGTAGATAGGTTCCAAACCCGACCGCGATAGCTGAAAATCCGCGAAGTAGGGACACCATATTTACGTATTTATTTAACATGTATATTCAGACTTTTAAAAGTTTTAAAACTTTTAAATCCGCGATATATTTCTTTTATAATATATACATACGTAATGAAAAAAGTCCGCGAAGTCGTGAATCCGCGATGGTCGAACCGCGAAGTAGCGAGGGCTCACTGTAAATGCAAGGAGTGAAACAAATGCCTTAGAATAGTGATAGAAATGTAGCTGTGTTAGTCTGGGGTAGCTGAAGCAAAATGCAGGACAATGGAGCACTTTAAAGTGCTACATTGTCCTGCATTTTACAAATGCCTTAGTTTGTCATAGTAAGTGTGTTCCTAAGATGATGTAACACATGACACTTTATATCCTCAGAGACCTTTGTATTCTTGACTAGTTATTCCTCACAACATCCCGTAAGGTCCAAACATTAATTCTGCTCAACAGATGTGGAAGGAAACTGAAAGATTGATTCACCCAGTACCATGGAGCACATTACTGACCGAGCCAGTTCAGTTTAGAACTTGTATTCCAGTTCCAGGCTCAGTTTACTAGACTGCATTTTCACCTCTTGAGCCAAATACATATTCCGCAGGAATATTTAAGACTAATAAAATGATTTTGTAAGGCCAGATCTTTACAAAATACATTACATTGTTAAATCATATGTTTTGTCCTAATATAGCTACAGTAATAGAATGGGAATTTGATATACTAGGCATTTACAGGCTTTGTTTAATGGTCATTAAGGGACAAAATTTGTTTTACTTTCTTAAGGTTTTGGTTTAGATTTCCACGAATTTCTCTTGAATAATAAAACAGTTATTATGCTAATGTAACTGACATTTTATGAATAAATTGCAGCTATTTTAAGTGAAAGACCTTTTCTATCTATTTTGGTAAATGTGATGAATAACGTATTGTATAAACATTGACTACTAGGCTCTTTGATTTTCTCAGTGACTGTAGAGGCTGGTACTGCAAGAGACGATCCCCTCTGCAGCTGGTACAAGATAATTTATTAGCATGTTTCATTAGAACAGTACCATGTTTTGCTAAGCCTTGCACTGAAGATGGGTTTTAGGAAAAAGTGTTTATGTATTGATTTAAATAATTATGAGGTTATATTATTGAGATCTGCATGAAAGACTAGCATGAGTTCTGTTCACACAGGTATCTTCAGGAGGTGGGTTACACTGACACTATACTGGATGTGAAGTCAAAACGAGTGCGAGCATTGTTAGGCCTCTCAAATGATGCATCAGACAGGGAAAATGACAAAAATCAAGAATCAATGGTAAATGGTACTGAGGTTGAGATTAAAGAAAACGCTATGATTGGGTAAGTGCCTAAAAAAACCAAATATTCTCTTTGTGTATAATTGCAACTTATTATAAATCTAGTTTATGTTCATTTGAAATCTTTTATACTTTTTAGTCTTCAAACTGACTAAATTTTAGCCAATTCTATTTAAAAATGTTAAAGGAGGAATATGGAAGCCAGGCTTCTCTAGGTGTTTTGCTTGTTTATGAGAATCTTAATTATATTTCAGTTGGAAAGTTACATTAGGAAATGAAACCTGATTTGTAATTTTTTAAATGCTTAAGGAAAAATACAACAATCATGTATTAGGTCATGTGGGGAGGACACATTGAAATTTAAGAAGGTGAAGCTTTATAACAATTAAAATAAACAGCCAGGATTTTAGATTGAAATCAGAGTTTATGTTCTCCAGCATAATTTTTCATGTTTTGCCTATTTTGTAAATTTCAGTTATCCATGGAAATATATTTCAGTGATTTTAGTGCATATACTGATATTTATCAACATTTACCGATATAAATCAAATCCTTTCAAGCTTATTTGTTTTGTATGCAAAATATCATTTTGCTGAAAGAGTTGTAAAAACACTTTTTTACCACACTTAAAATAGTTAATATCAGAAGTATGCTTTAGGTGTTCAGCAAAATTATTCTTTTGTTCTTGACTGTAATATTGTAGCTTTGAAGAGCTTACACTAATAAAAAGGATACTGAGGGGTACATCTATACTGCACGGCTATTTTGAAATAAGCTATTCTGGAATAGTTATTCAGAAATAGCTTATTTTGAAATAGCATGCCTCAGTTGCAGGGATGCCTCAAAATTAGTCCAAGGCAGGCTTCCCTAATGTAGACATGCCATCTCTGTTTAGAGCCCCAGGAGGTCCCAAGGAGGAATAACTTAAAATGGCACTAGTGAGGGGCTATTTTGAAATAGAAGCAGTGGCACGTCTACACACCACCTTTTTTTGCAATAGGTGTTATTTCTCATAGAATGAGGTTTACAGATTTCGGAATAAATTGCCTTTATTTCAAAATGATTTCGAATGGCTGTGTAGAAGCACACATTGTTATTTCAAAATAACGCTAGTTATCTCAAAATAATGGTGCAGTGTAGACGCACCCTGAGTTTTGTTTAAAAAGGAACGTTTGAGCTCTGTACTCCCATAGCTAGTACTAACACCAAGAAGCAGTAGAGCTTTTTTTAATCTAGGATTGGCCTCTTGTTTCACAAGCAGGTGTGATTTAAATGTAGCAGGAGTAGTGTCTTTTTCTTCTGAAATATAACTGCTTTATGTGGCACCTAATCTCCACAGTGAATTCTCAGTAATCCCAGCCAGTGGATAGTTATAGTGGCATCAGGTGTGTGTGCAGAAAAGCTACTTAATTAACTCCTTTTCATTATATAATTAAAATTATGTTGTTAAATGAGGAATTGGGCCATATGAAGGGACCCCTACCCTTTAAATTATTTTGGGCTTCTAAATAGGTAAGCCTTGCCCTGAGAAGTGCATCTCTGGTAAGGGCTGCTGCTGCCAGAGCACCTTTTAAAGTCAGCTTTCTTAGTCTGAGATAGTAATCTAATAGAATTGACTGTTTGTTGTAGAACACTAATACTGGGATTAGCAGGTATATTATTCTCCCTTTCAAATGTTTATTTTCTCTATTTCTCTCTCACTCTCTCGTATGACAGTTGTGTACTCATTTTTGTTCCAGTTTTGAAGAAATAGTGAGTTCTGACTATATATGTTTCTCTCGGGTTGAGAGGTGTGTATGGTTTGAGGTCAAGTGTTAGTTAAGCTCCAGTCTCCCTCTTTTTTGTTTTACTTGAAATTAGTGGAGTGTCATTTTCTGTTAGTTGGCATGAAAGATGGCTTCTAATAGAGAGACGTATGCATATTGGAATGAATGATGGAGCTGAGCTAGTACATTTAAAGATAGTTGTTACGAAGATTGTCAGCAGAGGAGATAGGCAGTCTTGGAGTTGGTGACAGCAGCTACTTTGTGTTGTCTCCTTCAGCAACTCAGTTTTACTTTTTGAGAGCTATGCATATAGTGGGTCTGCTGCTGTTCTTTACAAGCTTTGATCTTATAGTGCTCGTTCTGTTTTGAATAACGTTAGAGACACATGGTGTGAAATAATATCTTTTATTGGATCAACTTCTGTTGGTAAAAGAGACAACTTTCCAGGTAACCCAACTACTAACTCTGTGTAGCTCTAAAGCTTTTCTCCTTCACCTTTAGTATCTGGGACCAGCACAGCTACAACAGCACGTGCATAAGATTAACATTTGCGTTTTCAGATTCTTATTTGCTGTGTGTGTTTAGTGATCCAATTTATTTTTTGTTCTATAACACTTGCTGTTGCAGGATTATGTTATTGCATGCGCAGTCTGAGAAGCTGTGATAGTTTCATGTCATTTGTAATGCAGAGGGTCACTAACTCGTAAGAAGAGTTTAGGTGGGTGTGTGGGGCATGACAAATATTTATGGTTCAGGACTTGTGTGATCCCTCAAGTTACGTGACTTCTCTGAGTTTGTTTCCTTATTGTTTGAATCTTCAAATTACTGCATTTGTGGATGTGAACTCAGACAGCTAGTTCACTCGTGGCAGTGAAGGAGGTCAGGGTTTTATCAAAGAATTGAGAAGAATTCTTACATGATAGAGGATAGGACAGGCTACCTATGTAGTGAACGTTTTGAATTGTTGGGTACATTTTCATAGAAGGTAAACTATAATCTCATATGTTTAAGCACAGGAGGTATTCTACGTGTCTGTCCCTTTATTTCAGTACTGACAGATTGCATGGCCTGTCTGCTCACTTGGCTTCCTCAACCTCTGGAAGAGCACCAGTGCTGCGTACGTGATTGAGATTAAAGGCACACATAATGAGCTGAGTCCTAGTCAGAATACTTGTACAGCTTTCAGAGATTTCTCAGTCTCAGTACCCAAGCAAGTCAGCCTCTAAAAATATTTCTGTTTGTAATTAAAAACCTGCAGCTGACCTCTGGCAGCTGATTTGGGCCAAGGGGTTCCCGCTTTTTATTTTTGTGTAGATGTTTGGGCTGGAACTTGAATTCTAAGACCTTAAGGGGTGGGAGGATTCCAAGCTCTAATATCCACACCACAATTAAGCACCCCCTTAACATGAGTCATCTCGCACACGCCAGTTGCGAGTGTCCAGGGGCAGGTCTACACTACAAGGACAGGTCAATCTAGGCTATACAATTTGATTTACATTAGTAGTGTAGCTCAAATCAGCCTATCTTAGATCTAGTTACTGCGAAGTCCACACTGGGCGGGAGGGGGGATTGACAGAAGAAACTTTCCTGTCAACTATAGGGATGTGAGCAATTGTTTAATTTATCATTTTTGCTTTTTAAAAGTAAACCTGCTTAAAAGGAAATCTGAATGTAATGTAAAATATGTTGAGGTCTAAACTTAAAACATTCTCTTAAAACATTTAAATAAAAAAAAAACCCTGAATCCAAGAGCCTCTATCAAAAACTGAATTAAAGGCTGGTTTTCTATAAAAAGAAAGATGTTTTCCTACCACTTGTAGCTTTGGAGGTCAAGTTTTTATTAATATGGCACAAGAAATCAGCCTAAATAACTCATTTTCAAGAGTCTTAGGCAAGAAAGAACTTATGCTCCAATCATTTTCTCATAAACATAATTGAAAACTTTCCCAGGCTGACCAGAAATAATCAGTTTAATTCATTGACTGGAATTATCCCCTCTATTTATTACCATGTGTATCGTTTAGATGTAAATGTGAAATGTGTTAGTTTTATATATACAAAACATTTAATGTTGTTCTTGTTAATCAAAAAAATTATATGTTTTGTGGGTTTAAATTTCCATTAACGTACTAATGGAGCTTGATATGAATCATGACCAAAAAGTTAATTATCTAATAAAGAAAAAGAACAGGTTGGACAAACACCTGTCAGGTATTGATTAGGTTTACTTGGCTCTGCTTCAGCACATTGAGTTGGTCTTGGTGACCTGCCATGGTTTCTTCCAGCTCTACATTTGAGAGTCTGTTTATAAGCAATATACGATTCACCGTTTTCTACTGTACTGAAAATGTACAATTTAATATAAATCTGATGATATTAACTAATCTGTATAATTGCTTAAATAAATAGATCTTCCAAATAGCAAAATTAGATTTCAAATCTAGGCGAAAAACTCTGTTTTACAGTATGCTAAGTGTGTGTGTGTGTGTGTGTGTGTGTGTGTGTGTGTGTGTGTATATATATATATA